ACGAGAGTCGGGGAAATTAAACGTTTCGAGATTACAGCGAAGCGACTTTCATCTAGGAAATCATTGTCCAGCGGACCCGTTTCAGATCGCATCTCCAAAGTTCTCAAAATTCCCAAAATTCATAAAATTCTCAAAACTCTTAAAATTCCCAAAATTCTCAAAATTTTCGAAGTTCTCATAATTCTCAAAATTCTCAAATCTTAAAGAGGGATGGACGATTCCTTTACCTATCGTGGACATCAAATGTGAATAAGAGAAAGGGGGCAGTGGAATTGGGAGTATCAAAGAGAGAGAGAGCAGGACTTATCTATCATTCGCATCATCCCCACGGGCCAAGTACGAAATCGCTTTCACCCGGATCGATTGCGTAATTATACCGTGGCCGTAAATGGTACACGAGATCAAGATCGGTCCCCGTGGCTATCCTCCAAGATTCAACGGAAAAGAGAGAAAAAAAATTCCAAAGGCCAGGCGCATTATCATAAAATCGCCATTTTTAATCAAACGATTTAATCTTTAATTTTTCTCCATCCATACATATATACATATGTATGTAATTTCTCGATAATCTTTTTTTCCCCCCCCCTTTTTTTTAAAGATAAACGCGCTCTTTCCTTTCCCCCCTCACGAACTCATTCGATTCAATCTAACGTATGAAACTCCTTACTGTTAATTATATATCGGATGATATTTTTCTCTTAAACATTCAAAATGATAAAAAGAATAAAAATATTCAGAACTGTTCTATGCTGCGCGACAAATTTGCAGTAAACTAACCTAAAAATTATATCGAATTGTATGTAAAGTCTCGTTTCAAAAGATTTAATAAAAATATATATATATTTCGCACATCACTTTGGATATTTGATAAAATCTTTCCTTTTCGAACAAAACGAATCTTTTTCTCTTCCTTTTTTAAATAAAATGGAAAACGAAATATCTAAAGCCAAGAAGGGGAGAACAGCTGGAGGAAGAGGCGTAAACGCACAACCGGCGTGACGGAGCACGCAACCAGCCTCTCGTTAGACGAGACAATTAAAGATCTCGTTATTTTCAGCCGCGAAAACCGGATCGTTTTAACGAGAGTCGGGGAAATTAAACGTTTCGAGATTACAGCGAAGCGACTTTCATCTAGGAAATCATTGTCCAGCGGACCCGTTTCAGATCGCATCTCCAGGAGATCTAATCGCCCCCCTCCTTGAACGTCATGTCCGGTTAAAACAATTAGTCGTGCCACGAAGATCGACGTTCCGATAAACTCGTTCTGAATCTCGCGGAATTAGACTCTGCCGCTTACGGACCAACTCTTATGTGTTAATATTTCGAATATACTTTTTAAGATGGAAAGTTGACAGTCTTCGTCAAAAATGGATCGTTATTTGCCCGGATTAATCCTTATGTATCCTTCTTCCTCAGGAGGAAATTTAAAAAGTTGCTCATCGAACTTAATTTTCAAGAATATTAATACGAGCCATACCGAAGCTAAATTGAAACTGGAAGGATTGGACACTGTGGAGTCAAGTTTCTGGATTAACCCTTGCGTTAATAACCAGGAGGTTTTTCATTTAAGAGAGAATTCAAAGATAGTTATTTCCTCGTCAAATTATTATTTAGTATGCCGTGATCGATTTAACTTACAAATTTAAAGTCAAATTGATAATTTTTATCTCCTGAACAATATTTTATTTTCGCAGAAATAAAACGTGATCAATTATTTTTATGGAACAGAGTTGGTCAATTTCTGGTGTGATAAAAAAAAAATTATTAAATCAGAAATTAAATAGGAGAAAGGAAATAGGAGAACCTATTAATTTTAATTTTTTCTTACAAAAATTAGTCTTTCCAATTCCAAAGAAAGTATAACATGTATGAAAATCCACATTGTTTAAGAACCGTATTCATCGCAACTCTAGAATCTCTATTCCTATAATATCAAACCAATTAGCTAGTGATAATCGCCTCTCGTGAGTGAAAAGATTTAACTCGAGAGGATTTGTTTTTTAAAACGAGACTTCTCATCGTGGAAAATGGGCAGAGACGAGGATGCCACGGATGTTATTCCGGCTGGGTCCGCGATGTGTGACTTGGCAGCGACACCGATGACCGTGTCTCGTTAAAAAGAGGAGGGAAAAACCGGCTGGAGCGAAATAAGGTGAATTAAAGCCAGAGGATACGTGGCTCGTGTATGAATCCAATTTAATGAAGCAACTTTGTATGCGTGTAATTATCTATTCACGCTATGGCCGGACCCAGACGCTCGTGTAATTGCTTAATGACCTTCTATGAAGGAAAAAATAAGGGAATTGGTCGCTGTACCGTTTCACAAACGCGAATCGATGGATGGATCATTGGATGGAAGTAGCGAGATTTCAAGAAGAAAAGATACGAAACCAGTATAATATATAGAAACGGTGTAAGATCGAAAACAATTATTAAATTTCTTTCGATATTTTTACACATTATAGTATAAAAATATCATTGAAATAACATGTACTTGGTATAATATATTTAAAAATAATTGACGAAATTATAGCGTGATAGTAAACTTATGAGGGTTAAATATTGATATTGTACAATAATTGTATGCCATTACGACTATTAAATTACTCGTAACGTAAATTATATTCCGTTCACGCTATTAATATTTACAAAATTATAATTAGCACGAGTGTAAAATATAATTTAAATTACGAATAATAAAACCGACAGTTACGGTAGAAAATTATCATAGTTTAACAATCGTTCGTAATTTTGTACCAAAATCTCGCGCATACATCTACCCATAATTCATACATAAACCACAATTCATTCATACTAAATATACAACGATCGGTTCCACGGTAATAACAGCGACTATTAAATCACTATGAAAATATCCGCGACCCGTTCGCCAAACGTGGCCTCAAACTTGTGATCAATACTATATTCCCACGCAGTAAGATACTTTCTCCCTCTTCCAACCGCTACTTGTTCCCTATCTCTCTCCCTTTCTCTTCACACATCCCCATCTCGCTCACTCACTCGCTAGTACGCTCTCTCTTTCTCCCCTTCCGCGTTCTCGCTCTCATCAATGACCAGTTTCTCTCGCTCGCACCGCCTCGCCTATACACTGCTCTTTCTCTGCACCACACGAGCGAGAATCCAGTTTCTAAGCGCGAAAACGGCTGGACCACGTGTACGCGTTTCAAAACAACACGACGAACCCGCGTGTTACATTGGCGGGACGATATTACGTTTTATTCAACTCCCCTTCTCTCATCCATCTTCCATACGTGTTCGTGGAACTTTCCGTTCCCTGGCGAAAACGACGAATTCTCACAGCTGTGGAACAGTTATCCCACATCCGAAGAAACTTTTTATATTGTACGTTAAATGCATTGACAAACGAATATTTTATTGCCGACAATTCTCGATCTACCAACTATTATTTTTGCATCATTTCTCTTTGAGTTAGTTGTGGTTAATGTGGTTTACGCATTAACCACAACTATACTTAAAATGTATTCATGTTAGATGTTTTGAGAAAGTTTTTATCATAATCACAATATTATAATGGCAATATTTATCAAATGAATTGTACATGAAACGAATAATTATTTTCTTAGAAATTAGATTTATTTGAATATAATTAATATTTATTTTGCATCAATCTACGATCAATATCTAATAATTATTATCAATTGCCAAATTTTTTAAAAATACCATAAGATGTTCCAATTCTTACCCTTTTTTTTATCTTTTCCACTAAAATATATTAAAAATTTTATTCAAAGATAAACACGTTATTTTTAATATAAACAAGAAGACTCAACTTTCCCTCCACGAATCAATCATGTCACGAAAAATGCTAAGTTAAAGACAGGTGCGGAGCAAACCGGTGGAAGAACGTGAAAACGCGAGACTGCGTGCAAAACGCAAGGAGTATGCACCCAAACAGGTATCGAGAGAAGTGCAGGTGGCCACAACTAGCAGGGAACTTTTGACAAAAGAGGCCACTTGAACAATCTCCTAGCATACAAAGACGCTCCACACTGATACATGCAAACATTCCTTTTGGTAAGCTACTTAACGAGAAATTTAACAGATTCTTTCATCCTCTTTAAGCATTTCAGTATTGGCAAAATTTTTGAATGCACGCGAAAAAATGAGTTATGACAAGCAGATAATTCAATTCAATGAATAAGTCGCCATTTTGTTTGAAATGTTTTTCAGATATTACATACAGATGATGTACTGTCTACAAGAATACTGTGAAATATGATACATTACACACATTTAATATTTAATATTTAATATACATGGTAATGAGCGGGTTGTTTTCAACCGGTTCGAATTCTTCGCTTTCGTAACATCGTTTTCCAACGCGGTTTTGTAAACAAGATAATTAACGCAAACACCTAGGCACGCGATGACCGTCTTAATTACACGCCACGGTTCGACGATCTAAGGGGAGCGAAAGTGCGAGACGAATAGAAAAAACGGAGTAAAAGAGTAATACCGTGGCGCCTTTGATCTTGTCACGCTAATAACTTGTCAGAAAAGTTAATTAATAGAGAAGTCTCGAGAAGACCAGGCCAAATGGGCAAGCAAAGATGATTGACTTCGTTACATATCTCTCAGCTAAACCGGAAATCAACTTCCGCTTTTTCTTTCCTTTGCGATCATCACCACAAGAATCCGATCCGTTTATCATCTACATCAATTCATAGTTAACACCTTTTTTTTTCTATCTCGATATTACGATTACAGATAAAAATATAAAACGTAAAATTTCAAAAAGTTGAATTTTAATTACGGATTAGAGATTTATAATAAAATTATATCTATGTAATAAGTGATACAATGATTCGACCTTTTTCAAATTGAACATTAAAATAAATCATTTTCCGAATAAAGAAAAAACACAAAGAAGCGAGAGAGAAATAAGAAGTGATCGACCATAGCAAATTACGCAGCATCTAGGCACGCGACAACAGACGCCACGAGGAACGTTGACGAAAGAATCAAACTTTAAACATTTACTCACCAAATGATTCCAGGCGTGGTAGCGTCGTCCGTGGATTGCCTCTTTTGGTCGTTAGACGTGTCACGACACGTCCTTGCAGGTATAAACTTCTCAACGAACACTCACGAATAACACAGAATGAACACTACATCGAATTATTCACTGTACGCGATAAATTCACTAAGAAAAGTACGGTCGCACGGAGTAGCACGCGGATATGACAGGACGAACATAACCTTACAACCGGTGTCGCGGAATATGTCGAAAGTACGGAGACGAACCGAACGAGAAAACCTACCGCGAGAAACACTATAAACACGATGGGCGACCGTGAAGCGAATCTTTCCGATCAAAAGTTCGAACGAAGGACACATGAACCATTCATCCCAACGGAAAAACGAAACACCACTTTGCTCCACTCTCTATCGTAGAAACATCTAACAAGGATACCGCACCACGAGGCTTTCCGACACAATATCCGCAATCCGCGGAAGGACTGTCGTTCGAACGCGTTCACCCGCGCCCCTCCATCGACCATCAACCGGGAGAGGGAAGCCAGGTATAACGAGAGGAAGGGAGAACTGTCGAGTCTTTCAGTGTTGAGACTGCGCGGGAACGAGAAAGAAGGACACATGACCGGCGCCATTCCATTAGAGGGTAGGAGAAAGTGAGAGGGATGCTATACTTCACGAGCGTAGCTAGCAAAGGGCGTACAGGTTCTACAAAAGTAAGAAAAAATTTTATTTTTAATAATTTGAATAAATAAGTAAAATTTTATATCTTTATTTGTCTTCGTAATTATTTTTATTGGACTTATTTGAATAAGTATTATTAAATCACTAATTTTAAATAAAATATTTTGCATAATTTTATAAAAAAATAATTTTAATTATTTGAAAGATCAATATCATTTAAATTATATATTTATCAAAATTTAACATATTTTTTATTATTTTCTTACATTTTTTTTTTATAATTTAAAGATTAATAATCGTATTCAGAATATTGTAAATTTCGTGGTTTATTAAATTTACGTTCAAATATATGGTTAACCGTACTTTCGTGTATTACTTTCTTTTAATAATAAGACTATGTTCGAAGAAAACGGAACATGTTTTACATATCATGCTCATTACGTATTCTTTTTTACACACAATCTTATTTGTTCGAATATTATAAAAAAAATTACATACAGCTGTTGCAATTAACGTCAAAATAAACAATCGTTAATTGAATCCTGTAATAATTGGCTAAATTTATGAATCAATTTAAAATGTGACGCCATTTTCTCTTCAAATATTTTATAGATATAAAATTTCTTTTTACATATTCCTTTAAATACCAACTATAAGATAACTTTCAAAAAATGATTCATGATCCGAAACGATCAAATCATATATCAGAAATATTTATTTCTAATATTATATAATATCAAATAATAAATAATGTTATTCCATACCGTTAAAATCTCGTAACGAACTTCATGCTTTCTCAATTGTGTAAAATTCCGATAAATATTTCTTTCTCAACCGTTTAATAGCGTCGCGCCTGTTCACGGTCAGGTTAGCCTACCGGCGCGCGCTCACGGACGAGGGGTCGGGCAGGGTCGGGAGGGATCGACCACCAAGTCAAACGACCGGTCGAGTTTGCGCAGTGGACAAAGCATAACCGCAGTACAAACTTTTTCCATGTTCGAAGGGGCAAATAACACAAGCTGTAACTGCGGTAGGTAGAATTCTGAAAGAAATACGAATAAGATTCTATAGGTTGAATTCCTAAAAGCTACGATTCACTCTCCTATAGTTCTCCTCTTGCAAAATACGTTATATCTGCGAGATTCGATATTACGTCACTCGCATTGCATCTTTCGATTATCGAACGAATAGTTTTACAAGCGTGACATTCTTCACGATGGATATGCGACTCAAATGTGAACACATGTTGAATTTGTTTATTGATAAATATATATGATGGATTGAAATTATTCGAAGTGTTACAATACGTATTGTGTACAGAATCGACGATGTTTTATTGCACACTATGGCAAGATTCGTTTACTTGCCAAGACATGTCAACTGATCAATTGTTGAAGGGATCCATGTTACAAAAAAATCATATTTGACTGGATATTTGATTGGATTAAAACAAAGTTTTTCACAGTGATTAAAATGTTCAACGATTTGAAGGAATTTACGAGGTTCGTGATTTTTTTATTAAATTCATGTATAATTGATCAAACTTCATTTCGATAAGAATCTATTCATGATTTAAAGAGAGATGATTCGTTTTTTGACATATATATTATCATATCTCGCCAAAAATATCTCTAAATAATTTTTTGATAAACATTTTGTTAAAATTTCATTAATTCAAAGTATTTATAATTCAATCAAAATTTTTTTATAAAAATTTAAAAGTTATTAATTGTTCTAATTTTAAATAATAATAAAATTTCTACAAATTATAATTATTTCTTATAAATTTTACAATAGTATAATTCTATAGTTGTAATAATAAATATTTAAATGAAACCAAAGTAATGGCCTTGAAGGAAATTTAATTTTTAAAAAAATCATCTGATGAAACATTAGTAATGATAATAGCTTTTATCTCATTCTATATATGGACCAATTAATGCAAACAAATCACATGTTCAACCTTGATCAAGAATTACAATCTCTTTAGAGTTCATTCACTTTGCTTGTGGTTATTTATATACCAAGTGTTTCCAATGATCATCTTTCATACCAATATAAATCCACAGACATCTGATTAAATTATTAACAGTCATGTTACATGAATATTTTTCAATTTAAATTTAATTGCAAATAATTGATTAGAGTCAACTGTGTTAATTTTCTCAAAAAAAAAAAAAAATCTGTAAGCAGGGAGAGTCATAATTCAAAATCAAACTTAAATAGATTTCATTTAGTATTTGTTCCATATAAAATTGAGCTAAATTAAAATTGTGAAAATTATTTCAAGCGTCATATAAAATCAAATATTTAATTAAATAAAAATTTTGTATTGAAAATTATATATTTCTCAATCATATAACTAAACATATAATTAAATATTAAATCTAAATATCAAAATTTCAATGCTAATGAAATTTTTTTTTTTAATTATTATTGAAATTTTATTATTGATATTATTATTGAAATTGTAATTTTATTCTCTTTTATTTTTAATCATTCTTTTTTTTTTTAATATATCATTTTACACAAAATAAATTTATACATGATTATAATTTATACATAATCATTTATACATGCCTGAATTCTATTTAAAATATTTGAAACATGCAATAATATAGAGATAAAAATCGAAATAGTAATTTCAATTTTAAAATTAAAAAAATGTTTAAAAAGATCATTTTCGCTTGATTGTGAAAAGCACATTAAAAAATTTGTAGCGTGAGATTTTTCATTCGTAATTGGGTTCGCATGCTGCATATCGATATTGAACAGCTTCGTTACGCTTTCTAAGCGGATCTATTCGCGAATATTTTTCCAGAAAAATGCTAGATAGATAATCCTACAATGGACAATTACACGTTCTTGTAAGCCCTTCCCGATTACGAACGTTCGAACGCGTCCCATTCGAATGCCCCTTTATCTCCATTTTCTATTCGCCTTTTGTACTAGTGCGCGATTAATTAGATCAAGATTGATCATCGATTTCGTTCACGTATAATACTTGAAAATCAAGATAATTGGTTCTAGTGATTTCAATTTTTAATAATTTAAATATTTGACTAATTACAAAATAGTTCCATAATTATTTGACTTAACGTGAAGATTACTACAGGAATTTTGAGGTTAGAATTTTTAGAATAAATAACACGAAATTTATATTTATGTTACATTATACATATGTTATATTATATTTATGTGTTATTGAATAATGTAAAAATTGTAAAAAAGAAAACAATTTTGACAAACTATATGTGTAATTATGATGTAATAATTATTAAAGTATATAATAGTCGTGTAATACGTGAATGTCTATAAACTTTAACTGTGAACGTAGATAACTGATAATAAAATTTTCTTTACTACAAAAGCTTTCTTAGAACTGAAAGCAGAAAATTCTTTTCGTGGTTGTTTAGACGCAACACAATATCGTAAAATACAGGACACGTCAAAATGATTGACGTTTAAAAATGTCTTGCAAGTTCTTACACGTTTCTGTATTGTATTCCAACCTAGTAATTTAATAATTTGCATATTTGCAATACCAACTAAATATTCATTATCGATTTCATTTCATATACTTCATACAAAAATAATCACTAATAATAATAATAATAATAATAATAATAATAATAATAATAATAATAATAATAATAATATACGTTTTCTTTTATTTTTAATGATTCGTATCAAAAAAAGAAAAAATATTTTATTTCCATTCCAATTCTATTAGATTGTTATTTATCTTTCAAAAAAGAGATGATTCGATGTTAATATCCAGATCGAAGGCTGAGAGAAATTTAGAGAAGGGAATGTTTGTATACGGCATGCTTGTTCTATTGTTTCCGCATCGGAATGGTAAATTGACACAGCAGGTAACGGAATTACGGGATCGTGCGTACGTTAAGATGACACAATCAAGACTGATAACGTAAAGCAAACGAGGATATTAATAGAAGATGCAAACGTTCCCTCATAACTCGCATACAAAACGGGGTTTCGCTTTTATCTGCCTTTATGGCCATCGTAATTCTCTTTCAACTCTGTACATTGTTGTAAATCTACGACCAAATTCTTTAAATTTATAGTTAAAATTTATACGATCGTTCCTCTTTATCTGAAAATCGAATTATGTCAATTTAAAATTGTTCATTACGCGATGGACGTGACATGTTTATTTGATAATTAATGACAATCAAAAATAGGATGTATTTTTTATTCTACAATAATTCTCAATTTATTTTTTCGCGTTGAATTATCACTTTTCCACTTGCCATTCGCGATACATTTTAAAAAGGTTAAAAAGAATTCAATCATATTTTACCATTTATTCGAAAATTCGCATTGGAATAAAAATTTGAAATATTTAAAAGAATCATTGAAAAAAAAGTGTTATATAAGTGCCGATCGTTTTATTTTCGAATTTTTGGATAAAATTCCTCGATCTATAAATCGAACGGCGAATTGCAGATTGTAAATATTCTATTCTTCAAAATTATTGGAATAAAAATTTAAAGTATCAAAAAAAAAAAAAATAATAATTTTAAGAAATAATAGTTATATAAATATCAATTGAAACGTCATTTTTGAATTCTCACATAAAATTTTCGATTTATAGATCGAACGACGAGTTGCAAATTATATAAATAAATATTTTGTTCCAAAATTTAATTACACCATTACACCAAAATTTAAGATATTTAAAAAAATTAAAAAAAAATAAATAAATGCGAATCGCTTTAAGTCCTTGGATAAAATTTTTCGATTTATAGATCGAAACTATGATTCATCATTATTTTATTAAACGATACAACGGAAAAAATCGCCGACAAATATTTACTATCGCTACACCGTAATCATTTTCGTCTTAGTCGATCATTATTTTGTCTGCAGACGTGCATGTCGACGAAGAAATCGAAAGAAATAAGAAACGAAAAAGTAGCAAGGCGAGTGCGAGCATTAAAGAACAGATTGAAAGTTGAATTATTAATGGGCAAACTGACGCTCGGCATGTAAATCATATGGAAATATTACTTTGCCACATTTTCCAACACAGAGAAAATATTCTATCATAATTTCTCGTGTTTCCTTCCTAGAGAAACGTATTTGTTTCTTTCTTGAATTTAATTTTCTGGCTCTTGTAACCAGTTATAGCATTCTTGGGAACAATCCATGTACGAATCGTAATCCATGAGTTCAGATATCTAATTAATGTCATTTAATTATCGTTGTATTTTTATGATAATTGAATAATAAGAATGATTACTTATTCTATAATTAATTAAAATTTAAAAATTCTTCTGAGTGAAATATAGGGTTTGAAGATAGGATTAATCATTTAAATAAATTGTGAGATTTAAATTATAAAGAGGTTAGGTTAGAATTATTTCTCAAGGATGATGTTGGTTTTACAAAAAAATTAATTAACAAGGTATTGATTTTTGTATTTCGTGTAATGTAACTCGTGATTTTTCATGTTTGTTTTTATTTTTAGAGGCTTCCGTCTGAAAAAATCAGTTCTTTATTTTTTCGATATATAAATAGATCACGTGAAATTTATCTCATATACAATTATTGCTTTCATAACGGTATGATCGTACTTTTCATTCTTGGATTTTAAATAAATATATAATAAAAAAATAGAAAATTCTTCTCATTCATTAATAAAGAAATCATAGACATAGTTCGATATATATCGCTTCTAAATTTTTATTCAAAATTTCTTAGAAAGAAATCTTTTAGAATTTCTTAGTAATCGTTTTTAATTAAGAGAATGAAAAACAGAAATTTTTTTCGTAATATGTAATATGACAAAGAAAGGGAGAAATTCCAAAGAACACGTGCTTTTGATTCGACTATATTTTTTTTTTCCATCATCAAAAATACATCTATAAAAAAAATATCATAACACTTATATACAACGACAATTATTAGCGAATCGTTAAATCGCTGATAAATTGAAAATACGTAATTGCTGCAGAAACATATCAACAGAGTATTAAAAAAAGAAAAACGACAACAATAACAAAATGCGTGTTTTCAGCAATAATTTAACAAACGCCATTTTGTACATACAGATCACTGAATTATAAAATGGTCGATAACCAATATGGCATCCTTTATGATGCATGCGTACATTACCATTCAAAAGTATTAACTAGAAATTTTTCTACAAAATTTTCGATACTGCCAAATTTTTCGACTTATATAATTCAATTATTTAAATATAAACAGTTTTTAATCCTTCTTATTTTTCATTCGTACATCTCAATCAAACTTTGTTTCAGGATATCTATTACAGCGAATAGAGATACATAAAATATAAAAAATAATTAAATAAATCAAATTGGATAACTTTTGACTCGGCACATTCTTGGAAAAAAATTACAAAACGAAGTCTACTAAAAATTTTTTTTTAAAATTAATCGAATATAACTAATAATTTCGAACGGCAGTGTACATAACCTATACATTTTTTTCTAACGATATAATGCAGTCGCTCTTTCGCAGGCAACGAATTACACAGTCTTGCGATCTCGTGAATCGTTCGAGCGCGATACGATCGAAGGAAAAAACGGAGGTGTTCGAGATCCAAGATGGCGGCACATGATGACCCCCCAGGCCCAGGTGATCATGTATCGAGTTTCAAGCTTCCATTCGATCCTTCCGCATCCCTCCATTTAAACACTTAATCTCTTGTACTTTCTCGAATAAAGTGCCGATCGTCTCGTACGCCTGGATGCTCCCGATTGGCCCTCTTCAAATATCGTATCACGGCTAAAACAAAGAAGTAAAATCAGTTTGCCTTTTGATACTATCGATCCATCCATGATAAAATCTTATTTAAATTATACATCATTCTCGTCAAATATCGCTCGAGAAACGATATTGACTGCTCGAAAACGATGTATTTTGAGTATATTATTTATATATACAGAGTGTTAGATTACAAGCGTTCGTAGATTGTTGAATATAAATATAGACATTCGAACGAAGGATAGATTTCACGTGTCAAGTGTATAATTTGTATTTAATTATTCTTAGTTCGAAATCTAATCGAAAATTAACTTGTGAATTTTTATTATATCTATCCTGACATCTATCTTCTTGTTTCATCTTATTTTCACAATTAATTTGATCAAACAAGAGACAACATCCTGTCCACAACATAGAAAAACTTATTCTCGCTAAAATCGTTTATAAGACAAAGCTTCGATCGATCCCCCTATTCCTCGCAAGTCATTAGACGATCCAATGCAATCTCCATTCCAAAAGTTACTTAGATATAAAGTATTCGTTCCAACGATATCGCGCTAAGAAGTTAAACGACGCGTCGTCGCCCGGAATCCTGAAAGCTTTCCCTTCTTGATCCATGGTTAAGGTTCTTCCCATCGACGGGGTAAACCGAGAACGTTAAATCCCGGCGTGTCGTAAAACCAGTTTCACCAAACTTCCTCGCTCGGCCAACGACGACGATTTATCGCCGACCTTTACGGCCAGCCCTTACAAGATAATCCGCTTCGCCAAAATTCTTGATGCACGATTTTGCATGCCGTTTTACACGATAGAACTTGGCCAGGGAGCCTTCACCTCCGCCTCCTAATTCTCTTTAAACTTTCGTCTCACCCGATCGTTATATCGTAATATGAGAGAATGGCCGACACTTGGCTTCGATAATTTAGAATCTAAGAGGAAGCTAAGGGTTAAGGAGGATATTCCACATCCTGTTTTTATCGACTGAGAAGATTCGAAAATAGTATGAGAGTACAGTAGGAAAGAGTCTTGGAGGAATCTTAAAAAAAATCGATGGATATATCGACCGAGAAGATTCAAAAATCAAGAAGGGTACAACGTGGATATACAAATACGTAGATATATTTAAAAACAACTTGGAAAAATGGATCTCGAAAGGAAATATCCTGCTCTTATCGACCGAGTAGGCTCCAAGAATAACCATAAAGCGAATCGTTACGATTAACTGCAACGTCGGTTCGTTGAAAAAGTAACTAGTTACTTTTCAATTTATTCCTAGCTATTATATAATCGATCCGTTTTTCATATAAACTCGGCATTACAATTATTTCCGATTATTATCACTTTTATTACTTTTTAACAATAAATTATCGAAGTAACTTTTCCTAAAAACGAAGAAAGAAAAACAAAATTCCTAGATCCTAGATTCTTGTACAAGATCAAGCAAGAAACTTTCTTATTCGCGCACAAAAATTCCGAAAACGGAAAAAAATGAGAAAAAAGAAAATTTAGAAAATTTCTCCCCGCTCGACTTAAAAAGAAATGGCGAGTTAAGAAAAGATATACCGCACAAGAGGAAGAACCTCGTACCTCGGCCTTCTGGGTGTCCACGCTGTTCAACGCAACAGCCTCTGCGGCAGGCTCCTCCTGCTTCTTCCTCTTCACGCCGAAGATGGTTTTGTACGTGAAGGACGACAGAAGGGCGCCACCGATGGGGCCGAACCAGTAGATCCAGTGATGGGACCACTGATTGTTCCAGAGCGCCGGTGCCAACGACCTGGCCGGGTTCATGCTGCATCCCGTGTACGGGCCGACGGCGAGAGCGAGAGCGGCCACCGTCAATCCGAATCTGATTGGCACCGAGTCCGTGTTTTTCGCGTTCCTGCTGTCCCACACGGCGCACGCGACCAGCATCAGCACGGCGGTGGAAATGCCTTCGAGAAGGAGGCCCTGGATGGCGGACAGCTCGGTGTGCAGATCGGTCACGCAAAACATGTCCGCCTCGTCCGCGCTTTTGCCGGTCAACCGTCCCGCCGGAGTCACCACCTGCAACGCGAGTTCCGCTTTTGGTTTCGTCCTTTCTTTCCTTTTTCACTTCTGTTCTGTTCTCGATTTTAATTTTTTCTTATAGATACACCTCGAAGATTACGTTTCTCACGAGAAACGAAAAATCTAGGAAAGGGTTTTGTGTCGGTTGGTTTCAATGAATCGAGGAAATTATTTGTTATTTAAACAGGCGCGAAGGGCGTGTTGACTCTTCGAGGCACGGAATTTTAGGGGGGGAAAAAAAGCATATATTGCACAGAAATTTTTTTTTATTAATAAAATTGGTTTGTTTTATAATTGATAAAGAAATGAAATGACAAAGGAAACACAAAAATATATTAACAGTTATTATAAGGTTTTTAATTATAGGGTGGGACTTAAACCGTGCCTTAAATATGGGTTCACGAATGGTATTTGTTATAGCACAGCTCCTGTTCGTGAAATTACTAGCTAGTTTAATTTAAAACTTCTGCTAATTGCCTCTGTAATTTTTCAAGGTGGTACAAAAAGTATCCCATCTTTTTGATACTCAAAAAGATGGGATACTTTTTACTCTGCCATGCCTCAAAGGGGTTAATCGAAAGATTCGTATCGCGGAAGAAAAGTTGGGATACGATGGAAAACTGCCTTTTCTTGGAAACGGTCGATAGACGCGGTAGGATAGGAAATGACACGTACGTTCCATTCGTATTTGGACGTGTTAAATTGATGGATAAACGTTGTTAATAATATAATTATGGAACGTGTTTGGAGCGTGAAAACAAAGGAAAAGTTGGTTTATTGGAAAATTGAGGGAACTTTATTGATTTATAAATAATTTAAATTTTCTTTATCTCTGTTGTTATTATCATCTTTATCTTTTTGTTTTAAATTCTAGAATCGAATTATATTATCGATCGATTCGTGTAATTTGCCTTTCAAAGAATTCGAATTAAATAATTGGAAGACCCCAATTGGGGGGAATATAATCATCGATTAATCAAAAATTAATATCTCGTTAAGATCGGTTTTCCAGGCGATAAAATTTCATTAAGTTGGTTAATCTATAAGAAAGTTTTAACCACGATTATAACTTGCAGCTAGTTATGATTGATGTATGGCGAACATTCCCAATGGTTTAGGGTTGAAGGTTAATCGAACGAACTATCTAATCTTGTTATTATAATAGTTTAACTTTGAGCTAGTTGAGAATTAACGTGATGGATCAGTTTTATTGATCCGATTACTCGTAATTAGTTCAACTAGGAACGTTGATACAAGCCGTTTCATCTTTATCTCGATTATCTTTCTTTACGTTATTATCTACAATTTTTCGTGCTCAATGCCATAATAATAACAACATTTTTTAAAAAATTTTTTCCCCCCTATTATATAAGCAAAAAGTTTTCCGCAATTCTAGGATTAATTACTGACAAACATTGCAATTGCAGTGCAAGTTTATCAATTCCATAATATAAGTTTATATTTTTTTGTCCTTTTTTAAAAAAAAGTCCTATAAGCAGAATTACACCATATAAACATTACTTGAATCATAACGAATCAATCTGGATTATTTCTTGTGTTAATACAAGGTGTATACAAGGTGTACAATATATTCGTGGAACAAGTTTGAAAGATCAATTCCAGAGTGCTAAAACAAGCACAAAAGGTGATATATAAAAATCGAGGCTTGTTTATTAAGTTGCGAGCAATTTGTATTAGACGAAGCGAGACAGAAATAGAGGAAGCCAGTGGAGTAACAGAGACAGAGCATTTCACTCAAACGCAAATTGCTTAAATCGTTTATAACTTAATAAATAAACCTTATAATATTTTATATTATATCAATTTACCAATTTTTGTTTTACCTTTTAAGATCAATCCTTCAAAGATATCCTTCCACGAATATATTAACACTGTAGATAATACGTTATCGCAGTTACGTAAATATCCGTTCATAACGTTCGTTTCTCCTGAACCAAAGATTAGAGGTCTTGAACCTCGATAAATAAACGTGTAAAATTCCATTCGCATTACAACACTTTTTTATCAAATTAACGTTGACAGTCCTTTATCCGATATCTTTCGTCGTTAACAATTCAACCATTAATATAACAATGATTTGTTCGTGTCGTGATTCGTGATGAATAGAAACAAAAGATAATCAAAGTTGGCAATGTTGCTAATGATACTAACCTTTAACATTCCAAATCCTAAGACTCCACCAACTACTTGAGACAGGAGATACACCAAACCTTCGGGAATAGTCTTCATGCCAAGCACAACCGATCCCACCGTGATGGCAGGGTTAATGTGAGCTAAACTGATGTGGCCAAGAGACTGGAAAAAGGCAAAGAATCGCTTGAGTGGACGTTGCTTCGTTTTTTTGAAACGTTTAATATTTCATTCTTAAGTTATTTAATAGCTATTAACATTTTTTAAAATTTTTTTTTGTTTTCCTCCTCTTTTATTATACGATCAATAAGCAATTCAAAAAATTCTCTGCCATTCTTCACGATTAATTATCGATAAAAATTGCATTTCGTGGTATTTTGCACTCTTGAAATTAGTTCGTGTATATCTTTTGTCCTTTTTAAAAAAGAAATGACGCATAAAAATTCTGCAAACAAAATTAATTTACATACAAGCATCCTCCGTTTTGAGGTTAAGATCTTTAAAAGTATAAAATTATTATTATTATTTGTAAAACGAATTTGTATTTGAAACTGTTTTATTTTTGATTGGATTGATTAATATTTCTACGTAGGAATCTCAGGTATTACCAACCTGAATCACAATCATCACAGCCAGGCCGAAGGTTAAGGCTATTTGGAAATGAGAAGGAACGACACCAAGGCTTCCAACGCATCCCATACATCCAAGGAACACCAACATGGAAGTGCCAATCATCTCCGCCAGAGCGGTCAGCACGGTATTTTTCAAGGCCCCCTCGCCGTGCATCAATTTCTTAAACCCTGAAACATGAAACGCCATCTAGATGATCTATTTCCTTAGACGTAACTGCAATCGATTTTTCTCTTTTCTTGCTTGGTTGGAGTTAGTGTTTTCAAACCTTTTTTTGAATTCTGCTTCTCTTTTTCTTAATATTTAAATAAAAAGAATTGAACACAAGATTTTTCTCCGTTGTGTTTTTGTTCTGTTGAAATAACGTTTCAGTTTCCAATTCTCTTAAGAAAAATGAAAAAAAAAAGTAAAAGTTAAACAGCGAGAAGGTTATTTTGATATCCTTGAAGAATATGAAAGCATAATTATATTAAAATAAATTATAAAAATCATTTCCTTTTAAATAATTAACAATCTTTTCGCATGTAAAGTAATATAAGATTAAAAAAGTTAGGTAATTATATAGAATGAAGAAAATATTAATATTCTTGAAGATATTCTTGAAGAATATGACAATGTAATTGTATTAAAATAAATGGATGCTGAAGTCGTTATTAGATAAATATGATCTCTTTCCGAATCCATATTGAGAATCACTGGATTAGAATATTGATATGTAAATTTATCTGATGTAACGATGAGAAAATGTTTTATTTCAAAATGGTAAATTGCAAGTCTGATTTCATTATGTAACGCGAACACAATATGTAATTTATCTAAGTTATTATTCCGAATGATATATGTAAACGATAATGGAAGAATATTACAATACAAAACGAAATTTATACAGATAATTTCACACTAAATTTTTCAAGTTCAATTAAATATAGGTGGTTTCATTTTTCTCATTCGAATATCAATAACAAAATAAAAAAAAAAAAATACCTTCTTCGCAATGTTTCAAAATTCGGTTGAGTACAGGTGGTTTCATTCGAATGTTAACTTTCAGCAAAATTTCAGAATAAATACAGGCAGTTTCATTTTTCTCTCGTTCGAATATTTTATCTTTCCACTCATAAATTTCACCGCTATAATGCTCGATGCGATAGAGATGTACTCTTTTGTCGTATGAAAATGTTTCTTCCACGCTCGTCAACATGGCAGACATTTTCCACGATGTCGGCGACGTTTATCATGTATAGGAGACACGTCAAACGACCGCTCGTAATAGCGTTCTCGAGACCTGACTCCCGACAGGTGTTGACAAGGACAGACAGACGTTCTCGTCGAGGCTCTCGCCTTTTCTGGACGAAGTAAAACAGCCGTTGGTAGCGGATGAAAAATTAATAAATCTATTTTTCCTCTGTCTATCTCCGGTGCAAGATATTCGACGACTCGAAAATCGTTGAATTATAAATTCTTGGACTTCTCTGGTTATTCTGAGAACGTGATACTTGAGGAGGAAAAGGAATATATACAGGAAGATATTCGGACGATTTCGTCGTACCATTTTTATCTTACCAATTTATGTACCTTTTCTCTCTCTCTCTCT